ACCTTTGCACTCGTCTCTCACTTGATTGGGACCAGCTGGGTAGTGAACACATTCTCCTTTACTCTCTCTTCTTCACTCACACACACGCACACACACACACTAGACAAGGCCATTCTTGCTATTAACCTCAATCTGTAAGTGCCTCGCTACAGATTGGCTCAATCGTAAACACTTTAATTGTGTGTCCATGTCCCTTCATTTTCCAGTCAAACACTATAGCACGTTAAAGAAATATGAGATGCATATTTAAAATATAAATCTTATAATTATAGAGCCATGTCATTATAATTGAATGGCTTGATGTCTTTCGTGGAGCAAAAAAGGAAAAAATTTGCAGAATGAATTTGTCGGGTCCTTCTTAAAATATGAAGACACATTCTTTGACCTTTCAGACACAAAAAAGCCTTAAAATAGTGAAGAAACTGTTCTATAACTATATTAAAGGCATCATTGAATTAATAGTATAAGATGGCTCTGTATATTATTATTTATTTATTGATTTAGTCTAATCACTGGTGATTTTATATTAACACTCTCTCTCTCTATATATATATATACGTATATATATATATATGAAGAGTTCAGATGCAAAAGCCTCTAAATGCCATTTGAAATTTTCTTCTTTAATGATGATTTTTATCAAACTTGTATATTTAAGTTCAGTAATTTCACTTAAATAACAATTAATAGGTAATTATCATTGCCATTTAATTGAAATCACTGAACTTAAATATACAAGCTTGATAAAAATTATCATTCTTTAGAAGAAAATTTCAAATGGCATTTAGAGGCTTTTGCATCTGAACTCTTCATATATATATATATATATATATATATATATATATATCATAAAATAAAATTTGAAATAAAAAAAAATAAATATAATGGAATGATGAACAATAGCCAAGTTTTCTTTTTTTTATAATTTTGTTATTATGTTGATAAATACAAAGATTTTTTTTTTTTAATAATATGGTTATAAACAAAATTAAAGTGAATAGGGATCTCGGATGTTCAACGTCTTCTGAATTCATATGATAGATTTCTGTGAAGAACAAATTCAATTATTAAAGTTAATTATTTAGTTTTAATTGATGCATTGGCAAAATTTCGGTCATTGACAAAGTAAAGGAATGTATTTTAGACTCATATTTGAATATATTTTTTCTCCGTCGTCTGATATGTTTGATTTAAGATATGTTGGACCCTTTTGAACTTTAGTCGTGACAGCGTTCAGTCGTTTACTTCACAGACACGTGCCAATGAAGGCCGCGTAAGTCCACTTTGAATGTGCCGTTTGGGACAGAGCCAAAGTGAGAAGCAGGTCTTCCAGGAGACTAGGATGGTTTTAATCTCTCCCTTTACATATTCAAAGAGCACTTTCAATACTGGCCTGCTTTTACCTACAGTATGTGTGTCCAGCCACTCGTTTTCTCTCTGATCCCAGCCTTAATTAGTCTGCCGGTCTCACCCGTCAATCATTCCGAGCTGTCCGTGGAGACCGTCATTGAAAAGCAAAGGCAGAGGCAGCCATGATAGGAGGGCAGAACCTGGCATCCTTCTCTGAATTAATAAACAGTAAGTTTTAAAGGTGAAGTGTGTGATTTATATGCCACTAGCATAGGCAAACTGAGTCCCTAAAATCAAACCAAGTAGGTCTACAACAACTGGATAAATCTATACGTTGGCATTGGTTAGTATGTTCACTTTTAAGAGCCAGTGCGTATGTTCATTTACATGCAAGCAGCTCATGATTCAGTGTTTCAGTGTCAGTGAAAGACAGCTCTGACCAAACTAACTCCATTGGTTTGGCTGATGTTGCTTTGCTGTTTGTTTGAGGACTAAAACCAATCCAACATTGTTTTGATAGTGCTGCAGAGTGAGCTGAGTTTACACATTTCAGGGAAATTAGCCTATGAATTGGTTACTTATAGGTTTCTCTACATATTAAAGCAACACCAAGTAAGTTTTCCTCCGCAGTCGCCCTACAGGTTGGAAGCAGAATTGTCCATTACTGCTGTCATAAATAATTTAGCCTACCGCTCGTTTTGTATCTAGTACCGGCTTTGGAACGAACGATGTCCACAGACAAGGTAGAGTATGTTGCATGATTTCATGAAAGTATGATTTATTGCGACATCAGAAACAAAGAAAAACAAAATAATGACTATTGTAAAGCTTGACATAAGGCTAGTCAAATTTGTAGTAGAACTACAGAAACGCGAGCCGATCTGGCAATCTTACATAGCGTGGTTCTAGCAGATATATGATCGAAAAGTGAATCCAGAATTGCCTTTCACACTGAAACGATTTTGCAAACATTATTTTGTAAAATATCTTAGTGTTGCTTTAAGCTTGGATAGGAGAAAATATGCAACACATCACTTTTAAGAGTTAAAAGTTTAATGAGGGAATATTGTAAATGTTGCATGAGTTAGCTGATCTTGACTTGGGAGTCAGGAAAAAAGGTGCTACAGCATGAAGGTCAAAGAACATTTATATGCGAGAGCGGAAAGTCTGTGAAGAAGTTTTAAAAAAGATATGGGGTTTACTATTAACTTGTACTACCCAACGGGCCGGTAAGGGTAGTGCTGGTTCAGCACTTGTCTGCTTGTGTACTGAGCTGCCTGGCATTTTGTTTCTTAATGCAGAGAGAAGGAATAACACACTGGTGCTGCTTATGTTAACCGCAATACACACTCCTACTCACAACATGAGCATCAAATGCCTCCTTCCCCCCCTGTTCATACTCATGTTAATACAAGGTCAGCTCAGGTTGAGAAACCTAGAGTAATTTAGAGGAAATGTGTTTGGTTTGGCTCCAGATCAGAGCAGAATCAAGAAATAAAGGAAATGCCATCTGAGCCATGCCCTCTGTTGTAAATTCGAGGGATGAAGTGATACAGACACACACAAACACACTTACTCATTCTTGTTTTGAAGGGTGAGTGCTGGTCACATGACCAGGTCTCAGCAGGCAGAATGTTTTGGAAATATGTGCTTATTTTTGTGATGATGGATAAAACTAGATTTTCTGAACAATGTGAGTGTGTTTAGAGAACTTGTGGACAAGTTTAAACTTCAAGGGATAGGTCACCCATAAATAAAACTTCTGTAACTTTGTTGGTTCACAGCGATGTCATAGACGAACAATTTTGAGTTCACAAAAAGAACCTTTCTGGTATATATATATAAAAAAAATGTGTGCACTTTTTCCACTATAAAGAACCGGTTCTTCAGGAAAACATTGATTCCAATAAAAAACCGTAATTTCGGTGGAACTCGAAGATATTTTTTAAAAATGTGTCATTGGTTTCTCTTTTTTTCCATACAGTGAATTACTTTGGGATACAATGTTGGTTCAGTGTCATTTTTTGTTAATATAATTCTTTTGTTAATAAAAAAGTTAATATAATCATTTTATCCTAAAAGGTTTTAAACTTAAATACTTGAGCCTGAGAATGAGCTTACAAAATGTAAGCTTGCCTTACTAGCGACTGATGTTTGTGTGTGTTAACTTGCAAATGAAGGACTGTGTCATGAGGCACACTGCATTCTTTTGTGATCACATGGCTTGCTTAGTCAGAGCCGTGTGGCACACTCAGCACAAATATCAGGTCTGTACTGATTACTGGCATTTTCCAAAACTTCTTCCTCCCGTCACATTCCCGTCTAAAGTTGTACAGTCCAGACAATTTGCCCATGCGCTCTAAATCAGCAGCAAAGACACAGTTAACACCAGATGTAGTCACACACACACACACACACAAGCATGCACAATTTAACACACTCCCCCTACAGTAACGTCTAATCTCATTGCAAGCCCTGTGCACGCCTGAGCTCTGACAGACACTGCCCTGCCTCATATTGTGTCTCTGGAGCCCTGTCATTAAAGCCAATAAGAGCTGTAATATCCGCTAAACTCTTAGCATGATTTCTTTATGAGCTCTGGGCATAGGATCGAGGTGTCTGAGAGACTCCTATTTGCAATTTTTGCTGTGAAAGTATGTGCTTTGGCAATCTAAACACCATAGTCAGTTTTATGTGGAAGTTCACTCAAGAGGATTGTCACCATGTTTAGGCAAATAAGAACGAGTTCCTGTGGAATTCTTGGCAGGATTTGTATTGGAATATTGGGAATATTTTTTTTCCCCAACTACTTTTACAACCTCGAACTCATAAACAGCTAAAATTAGCTGAAGAATGTTCAGACACGGAACAACTGTGATTACATCTTCCTGTCTAACACAATAACTTTGCATGCCATGCTGGTTATCATAAGGGTTGTTTAAACAGGAAGGATGACTGGATTGTTTGGCCCACCTGCCATAATTCATTGAGCCTCCTTCTGTTATGCTGGAATCAGGCCGCCTTGTGATTCCTTTGACCATTTGACTTCCGCCCAGTTCTTTTTAGGACCTTATGAAGTGGTAAGGGGACGGATGAAAAGGAGAATGAAAGGAGATCAGGGGTGGAAGACAAGCCTCTTTAGAAATGCTTTTGCTTATATCGTCGTGTCAAATCGCGCTGCCATCGGCAACCCTTCTGAGGGAAGAGTTGAGAGGCCAGATCGATTTTTCTTTGAACTTAGTCTTTGTTGGTGAGACGTCTGACTAGTGCTTACTTCACTATATTATAATGATGCATACCAACGCAATTCTTGCAAAAAGATGCCAGTTTTCAAGTACGTTTTTATTTTTATTTTTTATTAGTGCGCCCTGCTGAGGCCCCTGCTGTTTGGTCAGAGACAAATAAGAGTGTCCGAGAGTGTTTTTAGAAATGTAATCTTTGTATTCATGTAGTGTTGAGAAATGTTTTTCAACTAATGGAAAATAATTTTCTCACACATAATTTTCTCTGCCACTGCCTCTACCAGTGCTACCACACTAGTGGCGAGACGGATCACAAAACTTGATTTAAGTTAATTTTATTTTGAAATGCGCTACTTTGGCTGGCTCTCATGTGATGTATATCTTTTTGTGTGTGTGTGTCTCTTCAAGAGATGGAGTGGAGGGCCCTGGCAGTGCTGTCCCTGCTGCTGTGTTTTGGCTCATCTTCCTGTGATGATATTCAAGACCAGTACGTGTCTCCAGCGGTCATCAACAATGTCGTTCAGGACCCTCAAACTGGACGAATCTACCTTGGTGCCGTAAATGGGATCTATCAGCTGAACTCTAAACTACAGCTGGAGATCAGTGCTGGAACAGGCCCTAAGAATGACAACCCACAGTGCACTCCACCGATCACTGCACAGTGCACTGATGCGAAGGAAACGGACAACATCAACAAACTCCTGCTGGTCAACTCCGCCAATGGCACCCTAGTTGTTTGCGGAAGCCTTTTCAGGGGCATCTGCTCTTTGGTAGACCTTCAGAGCGTGGACAAACCGGTGTACTACAGTGACACCAAAGGCGAGAAGACATACGTGGCCAGCACCGATGAGTCTGTTGCAGTGGTGGGGGTCATTTCTTATTTTATAGGTGATAATTCTAACAAAAACCTCAGCGTATTTCTAGTAGGGAAGGGCTACGGTGCCTCGGATAGCTCAAAACTCATCAGCACTCGGTTGCTGCAGGAGCATTTGGAAATGGATGTTTTTGAGAACATGGTTGAAGCTTCCACTGTGCAAGCTAGCTCTTTTGTCCAGCGCTACCTCCACGACTTTCGCCATGCATTCAAGGATAACGGTTACATCTACTTCCTGTTCTCACGCACTTCGGGCACCAGTGACAGCAGGAAGATCACGTTTATAGCACGCTTGTGCGAAAATGACCATCATTATTATTCTTACACCGAACTTCAGCTCAACTGCACCGCCAGTGTTGAACAACACGAGAACACTTACAACAAGGTCCAAGCGGCATATCTGGCCAAACCTGGCGAAGTTTTGGCTAGGAATATCAACTCTTCGAATCTCAACGATAAGGTTCTATTTGTTGTGTCTAGTGCAGATGAGGATGGTGGTCGATCAGCCTTGTGCATGTACCCCCTCAGCAGTATTAACAATAGGCTTGAGGAGGTGATTGAATCCTGCTACATAGGAGAAGTTCTGGAGGACAAGAAACCAAAGACCGTTTATTCACCCTACTCATCCAAGACAGATTTCAACTGCGGGAACCAAAGAAATGGTTTTGTGAGTTTTTGTGTTTCTTCGGCTCTGCTTCGGTGTTGTGTGGTCCTTTACAACCTTTTTGAATGCGCTGTGTATTTTCGCCCAACAGATGAATATGGTGAAGGAATATAAATGTGGTGCAGAGTTCCTGCCATCTCCACTAGCCAGTAGACCTGAGTATGCTCTGTCTGTCAAACCCATCTACACCCGAAATGACATGCTGACGGCTGTAGCTGTAGCGGTGGAGAATGAGCACACGGTGGCATTCTTGGGAACCGGTGGAGCAGATGTCTTAAAGGTGAGTCCCATTCCAGCGTCTGGTTTCTATTCTCTTTGAATTTCAGTCCTTGAGGTTTGACTGCTGTGATTGTCTGGCTTCGTGGTTCACGATATGGGCTGGTAACCAAAAGATTGTTGGTTTAAACCCAAGGATGGAGGATTTATGAGCTACAACCAATTAAGCAATGCACTTAACCCCAGGACTTGCTCTATCTCTACTACCCCTGTAATATAGTTTACATAAAAAAGTCAGTTTGGATAAAAGCATTTTTAATATGAATTAATTAATTGATTAACTTTTCATTTGCAGGTGCATCTTGATCCCAACCGCACTGACTTTTATCACAGGATTCAAGGGGAACGCGCAGAGGGTGGGGTGAACAAAAACCTCTTTTTTGATTCAACTTCCGATCACGTGTACATCACCACTGGCAGAAAGGTTTGTTTATGAACAGATTCACAACGCTTGTATTACAGTGAGTCAGCAGAGATCATCCACTGGTTAAAATAATAGAATAGTTTGAATAAGGTTGGTTTGCCAACCTTAATGAAAGGTTTTTTGAATGGAATGATAGAAAATACCGTATTAACTGTATATTTTTTGTGGGCAAACACCAATAGTTTCAGTTGCCCTATTGAGAGCTTATCTTAAGGGTGAAAAAGTTCCCCATGCAGAATTCACTTTTGTTCAATTTGGTCACGCAAATTTGCCACGTTGAGCTGCTTGGTTTGAAAATGGCTCCTGTGTGAGCAGTGCTTCATGTTTTGGTACAATACTGACTTTTTTGTCCATTGTGACCACAGCTTAACATTCTTAATGGAGAAGCAGAACCTTCAATCACAGATGTATCAGCTATTAGGCATACTAAATAAACAGATTTGCCTTTTAAATGTTGTCTTGCTTCTCTTTTGCGTAGATCACCAAAGTGCCAGTGCAGGCCTGTGAGCAGAAGAATGACTGTCACTCATGTGTGTCCCAACGGGACCCATATTGTGGCTGGTGTGTGTTGGAGGGCCGGTAAGTCTGTTAGATTCATTTCACTACCAAAAGCACAACATCATTTGGGCATTCTTGTCCAGTAAAAGATTGGACAAGTAATAACACTGCCACACTACAACAGAGTTTGATATTTCTACTGCCAAATAAAAGATCAATTTCTCATGTAACTTCCATCTATATTAAAGTATGGTTTCGAGCAGGAAACTGTTTAGAGATCTCTTTTTATATGAAAAAACCTCTCTCTCTATATATATATATATACCTATATAGTGCTATTACATACCTGTGTTCAGCCCAGTTAAAGCAAATTCCGTAGCTTATTACCCATGTCTGCTTTTCTCCTGCAGTTGTACAAGGAAGAAGGATTGTCGCATGGGAGATGCAGAAAATGCCTGGTTGTGGAGTCCAAAACAAACATGTGTAGCCATTCAGTCCTTTGAGCCCCCCAACATCAGCTGCAAGAAAACGCATAGGACCCCGGTACGAAAGCATAACACGTATACTCTGTGATACAGTCTGCCGTTATTTTAAACCCTAACCTCTTAAGGATTGGCTCAGAATTGAAATTTACTGGCTGTGACAGATCCAGTCTGTGAATCTAATCCTTTTTTCATGAGCTGATGTGATAAAGTTAGTAAACAATGGACCTAAAACTATTCATACCACATGAACGCACAGAGCACTCTTCGTGCTTTTCTAATATGTCTTAGAAGAAACTCAAATGGTCATGGTTGATCGAAGATGCTTCCTGTATTCCGTAATTAACTTCCTGGATCAGTTGTAATGAATAATGAATGACAGTATACTCCTGATTTGCTGAAATCAATATATATATATATTTTTTTCATTTTTCTTCAGTTGGATTCCTATACAGTCATGGAAAAACCTTGAAATGACAGAGAATTTTAAAATTGTGATTTTCATAACAGGAAAAGTTATGAAAATCATTAAATTTGTATAACGTGATTGAAAAAAAAATGTATAATGTTTATAATAATGTCACTTTTATATTATTTCTTATTATTATTAACAATATATTATGATTTTATAAATTATACTTCAATTATTATTATTACCTTTTTAATTTTATTTATTTATATTTAGCCCTAAATATTGAATATTTAAAAAGTGTCATCCAATAACCATAAACAACTAGAAAACACACAAATTCAGATATTTAACATATTTATATATTATTTATTATATGTTTACTCTTAAATCCATGTTTTCTGGTTGAAACTTGCAGGTGGAGATTAACATCCTCTCCCTCCCCAGTATCAACAGTCCTGACAGACTTATGTGTGAGTTTGGTGACTACAGAAGTGACGCTACTATGAAAGGCACACGGGTCATTTGTGATCTCCCGACCTCGGAGTTAATCCCACCCACACCTGAGACACTAGGTGGGAACTACCTGTTTGCCTTTAACTTAAATAATCTCTTACTATACTGCCTCCTTTACTTGCTGAACAAACAGATGGTGTTTGTCAAGCAGAATGCCTAAACATGCCGCCAGGCACGAGTCATTTTCATCTAATTTGGAGACAGATCAGATGAAAAAATCAAACTGAAGCTTAATCTATTACTTGTTGATGCTACAGTTAAATAACCTTTTATCAAGGCATGCTTTTCTTGAGAATCAAACTCATGACCTTGGCATTGAGAATTGTTCAGAATTGAAAGTTCAGAATTGTTCTTATGAATTACTCATACCTAAAAGCCCATTTGATTCCCATTTCCCATATGCATGCGTGTAGATTTTGTGGCAGTGCCAGTGAAAATCACAGTGAATGACGGAATTGAAGTGGCATCCGGTGCGTTTGAGTTCTACAACTGTGCAGCCGTGGTGAAAAGAACAGAGAATACTCCGTGAGTATCAGGCAGCTTTTTAAAAATGTATATTCCATTCAGGATTTCTTTCTAATCGGTCGGTTGTGTGTTGTGTTCTGCAGGTGCATCGCATGTGTGACCAGTAAGTGGGGCTGCCAGTGGAACATTCAAGATCACACATGCAGTGATAGTGTTGAGTCTGTCGAGGAAGATCTTATCATCAAACACTCTGAGGTGAGTCACGTTAGGATGATAGTTAATGAATGCATGTGTGTAAATTGATATGCCAGTTTGTGCATTAATATATGGTGAGTGATCATCTTCTGGTGACAAAACATGACTAATAATAGTTTTATATAATTTTCTTCCTTTTGTTTATTTTTGCAGGGTGACAGGTGTCCTCAGTTTGAGATCCCTAAACCTCTGCTTATTCCTGTTGGCATCAAAACTCCCATCCAATTTCAGGGCAAAAATCTAGAAAAATATTCGGTAAAGTGATAATGACCTGATGCCTGTGCATTATCCCACTGTTTAAATGGGTGCTTTCTAAATACCGTTAATAAATGAAAATGATAGATTGATCTAAGTTTTGTTAATTTATGAAATTCAAATATTTTGATAATTTCACATAATTCTAATTATTTTGATGTATTGTTCAAAAGTTCGGGTCGCTAAGATTTTTAAAGAAGTTTATTTGCTCTCAAAAGCTGCATATTTTTTTATAATTTTTTTAATAAAATTTTAATAAAATATTATTACTGGGTCAAATAACTGTTTATTTAACTTTTTATTTAATTATTGTTTTTTGATGTTATTAATGTTGAAAACAATTGTGCTGCTTGGAAAACATGGTACATTTTTGTCAGCATTCTTTGCTGTATAGAAAGTTACTTGAAATAGATCTCTCACTTTTTTTTTAATTCTTGCTGAATAAAAGTATTCATTTCTTTTAACAAATCATACTGAGCCCAAACTTTTAAACAAAATTGCATATACATAAATATGAAGTGAGATAAGAGATATTAATCTGTGCCCAAATATGTAGCACCCTCGACCCACCCACAATTAATCACAATGTTATTTTTTTATTACTTTGCCTGCCCAACCCTCATATTACCCACAGTGTCTGCGAATATAATTGCGTTCCTCGCATCACTACCATGGACTTTAGTCAACAATAAATAGACTTTTTTTTTATCACAGAACATTATGATTTTTATATATATATATATATATATATATATATATAGTAAAATTTCTTCTTAAAGAGTCTACATGAACAGCATTACATTTTCTCCATTTCTCACAGGGCAAAACCTTTCAGATTGGCTCTGAGCTCATGAAACAGGTGGCCGAGGTGACTGTGGTGTCTGAGGGGTCAACGTACAAATTTGAGGGATATGAGGTCAGTACTCTCCACTCGTATTCCTCCTCCTATTATGTCTCCCTCACTTTTCCTCCCTTCTCCTCTGTTCACACATTGATTTGTTTCTGAAGTTTGAGCACCAGCCAATATGGCATTTATAGACTCAGTCCTATGTGGGCGTAGCAACCACATGGTGATCAGGTTCTCAAACACATAAGGGGAGATTTTGTTGCGGCACACAGTTGTTCCAGATACAGTGATGTGTTTGTCTGAATCTGTTTGCATGTTTAATGACACCATTCTGCTGTTTTATGCCAGTTCGCATATGACAAAGAGCCAGAGGTCAATGTGACGTTCTACATAAAGGATAAGGACACAGAGCGGATGATTGACAGCACCCTCAGAGGTATATTTAAATGAGTTTGTTTCATTTAATAGTTGTTAGAGGCACGAAAACTCCTGAAACGGCATTCATCCATTAAACATGGATCTTCAATATCTGGAAAGGTTGGATAAACATATCTGATGAACGACTTAAAATAAGCAGATTTACATTTCTATCTTGGAAACTGATCGCATAAGTCTTGTTTTTATATCTAGGGATGGTTTAGACAATTTTAGCAGATGAGCACTTTGAAAATGCCATCTTTCAGATTAAAAACAAATGTACTTCGAAAAGTTTTTAATTTATGGGTGAACTAATTTAAAGTGCCCCTATTGTGCTATTTTAAAGTTTCCTAATTTTGTTTACATGCATCCACGATCAAAAAAGTTATTTTCTTATAATATACGTTGCATCATCGCCTCTTTGAATAATATATCTATAATCTGAATTTTATAATCTGAATCTATATCTGAATTTTAGCTCCATAGGTTTCCGGAGACTTGTATACACAGTGATACAAACAGTAACGGTGACATCAGTTTTACCCTTTCAATTAGATCCCAATAGCATTTATTGTGCACTACATTGCATGAATAAGCATAATAGGTGCTCTTTAAAGTAGTTTGTAGCTAGCACATGTGCTTTTTTTATCTGAAATATGTCATTTTCAGTCCTCATCTGCTAAACATGTCTACACATGAACTAGCCTATCCCTTTAAGCTACAGTCAAATTACACTTTATGAAAATGAAGTGAGCTATGCTACTATGTATTAATCAAATGTAACCAACTAATATTTTTTTTTTAATAAATATGTCTGTCAGCAGCTCAGATGTCAGCTACATATTCTGAGCATTGTTTGTCAGCCACAAAAACAGTGAGAACCTCAGTTTGACAATTTGGTGATAGCATCAAACTTGAATACATATATTTGTGCTAAATGTGACTAATAAATCACCACATACGACAATAAACAGTCTCATTTGCATAACTCATAATTTCTGAAAGCATACTGATAAACAGCAGTGTTTAATGGAATGTTTATTCCTCTACTAAACAAAAAGTCTAAGGAACAATTTTGAGCCTTATTCTGTTGAAGATGATGAATTTGGTGTCAGTGTTGTTTTGTTTCCTCTATTTTTCTTTCCAGTGGTGCTCTACAATTGTTCAGTAAGACGGGAGGACTGCAGTCTGTGTAAGAACGCTGACCCGAAGTATAACTGCGTGTGGTGCGACACCCCAAAATCCTGCATCTACAGAAGCCTGTGTAACACGGAGATGCAGCAGTGTCCACCTCCAAAGATCACTGATGTGAGGACCGGTGGTCTTGTTTTTCTCTTTATTTTAAACTTTGCTAACGCTAGGAATGCATACAATTCATTGTCGCACTTCAAACTGAACTCAAAATGCATCAAAGAATATCTCATTGGCGTGACGTCAGCGATTACAAATCGCCATTCCCGGTTCAAATGCAGTTCATAAATTTCCACTCTTCATCTTCTCTAGAAAACCCCATTCCTTTTCATCGTCTTCTCGATTTTTCATGCCTAAATGATAAATAGATGGCTGCTCTGGTAGTCGCAATCTCAGACTCTCACTTAAGTGTTTGTTGAATTCATCTGAGACTCTAATGATCGTGCCGCCTGTGCCTGATGGTGTTTTATTATTTGTCATCTGGCAAACGATTTTCTCCGAAGCAGCTGTATCACTCAAGGGCTCAGTGGTTATGGGTAATCTTTGTGACTCTAGTTTACGGGTTTGAGTGTTATAGGTCTCTTAATTTTGTTGTTCTACTTTCATTCCAGATTGTTCCCCGGTATGGGCCGATGAATGGACAGATCTCTGTTACAATAAAAGGCTCTAACTTGGGCATCAAGCAGGAGGACATTAAAAGAATCACTGTGGCTGGAGTGCCATGTACACATCAGCCGGAGAGATACTCGGTCTCTACCAGGTACTGCATGAACACCATCTTAGATGAATAAGCATTGATTATAATAGAGCATTTAAAATGCATCCATCTTGTATATGTAAGTTACAAATAGCTGTTTAGCTTATACTTTTGGTGTACCCTTGTGTTTCAGTGTTGTATGTGAGATCGGGACTTTCCCCGCACTACCCCCTCTAGACCTCCCGAATGCACCCAGCCTGTTCGGGCCAGTGGAAGTGGAAGTGGAAGGGGGGAGAGTAGGACAGTCGAAAGTGTTATTCACTTACAGGGTAACTGCTTTCTCTGTAATGAAGCCTTTGTGGCCTCATAAGATTGTTTCTAATTTCTAAGATTGTAATCTTAATTCTAATTTATTGCACCCCTGAAATAACTAGTTTAGACTAGCAGGAATCCCCTCGATTATCCCATGAAGCAGCATTGTTGTGCTATTAACCAGCAAAATGGAGTTTGTGAAGATGGTTGACCAAAGAAATCTTGCAGCTTAAAGTTGCATTTGTTAATAAATGATCCAGTCCAAGGTCAAAATAGAGCAGAATATTCAGTTTCAGAAAATAAGTCAGAAAGTAAAATGGGTTTAGATTTTTTTTTGTTTGTTTTCCAAAGTTGCATTTGTTTAATCAAAAAACAGTAAATAATATTGCAATTTAAAGTAACCGTTTCCTATTTTTATGTGTGTGTGTGTGTATGTATGTATATATAATCTATCTCAAAATTAATATATATTTTGATATTTAAATATGAATATACGCAAATAAATTACATTTGTATATATATATATATATATATATATAATCTAATTTATTTGCATATATTTATATTTAAATATACATATATAAATTATAAATAATATTATATAATAATTATAAATATATATATATATATATATATAAATTAATTTATTTGCTAATTTATTTTATTCATGGTAATGCTGAATTTTCATTAGTCTTCAGTGTCACGTGATCCTTCAGAAATCTTCCTTATATGCTGATTTGGAATTTTTTTTACTCATTATTATCGATGTTGAAAACATCAAATCAGAGAGCTGTAAGTGAGCAAATGTTAACAGAAGGAGTTTTCTTCCCATCTTCAAGGATCCTGTCCCCTTGGCTGTGTCCCCCTCTAAAGGCCCAGCTGCTGGAGGAACCATCATCACTATCATAGGACAGGACTTGGAGACGGCTAGTAAAGATGACATCAGCATAACAGTGGACCGAGAGCCTTGTGAAGTGTGAGTAACAAGCAAGTAGTTGATTTCTGGAAGATTTGGATCTTTTTCCAATGCTGATTGTGCCTCTATTTTCAAACAGGTTGACATTTGGCCCAGAAATCACCTGCAAAACAGGCCCATATAGAGGACAGAAAATTCCTTCAGATAAGTTGCCTGTTATTGTGAAGTACGGCAAGGACACTTCCAAAGAAGTCATTGGTTTCGAATACTCAACAAATCCCAAAGTTACAGACTACTTCCCACAGGCCAGCTTTGTTTGGTAAGTCCGTTCTTAATCATTTCGCTACTAGGCCTTTCTAACATTGAATGTCATAGCTTTGGAAATCTGATCACAAATAAGACGTCAACAGGGGTGGGTCCAGAGGTGAGAATAATTGGCTGTGTATGTTTTTGTGTGTGTGTGTTTTCAGCGGAGGCCGTAAGATCTTGGTTATGGGATCTGGATTTGATCAGGTGCAAAGAGCCACCATGCGAGTGCTGCCCTCTTCTGACGAGCTCAATCTCAACTCTGGCGACATAGAGGTGTGTCTCATGTTTGTCATGATGCTTTTGTACCAATCTGTGGTCAAGTTAGTGGGCTTTTACAATAAACAAGGTTGTAATTCGAACTGAAGCAAATTCCATAACGGAAAAGTTCACCTAAAAATTCAAAGATGTCACCGTTTACTTTTATGTCATTTCAAACCTGTTGGATGCAGCGTTGTTATTGTTAACTAAAACTAAAACGATAAATAGGGGAGAGCGGGGCACAATGCAACACTTTTTGACTTTGTCAATCTACTTAGGGTTTAGATAAATTTTTTTTTCCTCACATTAATTTACAACATGTCTAGTACAATTATGTGGTTTTGTTTTATTAATACAGTGTATACTTTTTTCTTGATTTACCCTGAAAGTGAAACGATTCACCCGGAAGTGAAATGTGACAACATGCCCCATAGGTGGGGTACATTGTAACATGTGAGGGGCACATTGTATGACAACAAACACACCGGAAAACACAGCTATACAGCTTAGTTCAAAACAAAATAATAATTAATGAATTCTGAACATTGACTCTCAGTCTTTATTTACATGTATCTCTTGTTTTCTTAATTGAATTCATAAAAGTATTGAATATAATAGCATATTTCTAATAGGGGCACATTGTAACGCAGTGTATGCAGAACATGACCCAACTGCACAATAAATCAAATAAATCAAAATAAAAGCTAAATCAAAATATTAAGAAATAATATAATAGTAAAAGGCAAAGAGGTATTTTTATGTTGTTGGTAGTGACCACATGTTCTAAAAAGAATAAAAATCACAATAAACGTCTTAAATTTGAGGAACTTAAATTTCAGTTATCGTTTATTGAAAGTTTAATATTACGAGACCTGAATAAGTTACTTGTGCTTTCCTATTTTTGTTCTGTCAGATGTTATTGATTGGCTCTTAAGAAATGCCAGCATTTCATTTTCGTGCAATTTCCTTTTGATCAAATGTCTGGCTGTCATAACCCATTGCTTGGTTCCAAGCTGAAGAGTTCCCTTTCCTCTCTCACTCTCCTCTGTCTGCATCTTCTCTGTCTCCCTCCTCTTATTGTTAATAAGCAACATTCATCACGCAGCTGACACCATGCGGTCTCATTTCTTTTTTAGTGCGCAGACATTTGTGAAATGTGTTTTATGCAGAGATAAACTGACTTGTTTTCTTTCCTGCAGTTCGTTCAAGAAGTTAGCCGCAAGAACGAATCCGTACTGGAGTTCCTCTCTCCGGATGTGAACAAGACATATGTGAACCTTTCCTTAAGAACAGTCATCCAGCTGGACAACGTGGTGGAGAACTTGACTAATTTTGTTTACCATCTAGACCCCACGTTCGAATTTTTGGCCGAAAAAGCGATCACGGAAAGCAGCATCATCAATGTTAATGTAAGTATTTTTGCTAACAGCAAGATTTTACAGTAAAGATATTATAAGGGGGGTTTGTTTCAGTTACTGCTGATTGTGCTTTCAAAAAAAAAAATCACTGCTTCATTGCTTTTTTGTTACAGGGTCGTGGTTTTTCCAAAGCCATGACTGCCAGAGAGGCCCAGGCGTTTGTGGGCGATGAGCCGTGCGTGGTGACAATCCTAGATGATGAAAAGTTGTTCCTCGTGGCCCCCTCCAGCCCTCCTAAATCCACCTCCAAACGCCATCGCAGAGACACCAGCTCAGAGGCCATGGAGCTGCTGGTTAGAGACTATTCTCCTCAGGTTTTAATCACAGTTGTTCTGACCAATTTTACCCTGTGTTCAAAATCTCTCGTCTTTTTCAGATCAAATTCGGAAAAGGCGAGTGGAAAGTCGGATCTGTACGCTTTGAGAGGAAATATGAGGTTCCTCTTTACATCATCATTCCTGCTGTCCTCATTCCCATGGTCCTCTTCATTGCAGCGTCGGTCTATTGCTACAGGTAACAAACCTCAGAGTGCACCAGACTGTAATAATGTGAACTTAATAACTTCGATTTCAAAGATGTGGTCTAGTGAGTGGTCTAGTTTTCTCTATATATGGTCTCATTCCCTCCATTTCTCTCTATCATTTCTGTCTAATAACAAATAAAGAAGTCAACAAAAAAGAACTAATTAAATTTAAAAAAAAAAATCATCATTACAAATTAAAATTCACTTAGATTTTTAACAGCAAATAGACATTACCTGGATTTCCTATGCTCATGCTCAAGTGCCATTAAAATTAAAAGGTAGTGTATTTAAATGTATTAATAAGTAAATTAAATTAAGATTAGATTAAAAAAAAGCAAACAATAAATTCATAAACAGTTTTAGAATTACATGTTTTCTCTCTTCTTTTAATAAAAAATGAAGTCATATGCATAAGTCATAATTAGTAGTAAATGAGATTAAAAGTAATGTTTGCATGTGTGCAGGAGGAAAAGCCAGCAGGCAGAACGAGAGTACGAGAAGATCAAAAATCAGCTGGCGAATTTAGAAGAGAGTGTCCGAGATCGCTGTAAAAAAGAGTTCACGGGTAAGATCTCAGGAGTTTATCATCTTATAATCAAATGAAATAAGTCTTTTTGTCTTGGGATGAACAAACTTTAAATTGCATGTGCTTTTCTGACTTCTTTTGTTTGTTTTATTGCTTGTCACTTCAGCAAATATTTGCTTTTTTGCAGAACAAAGATGAGTTTTTGTTATTCTGAAAGCATCAACTGTCTGTTTCTCTCAGATCTTATGATAGAGATGGAGGACCACACTAGTGATCTGAGCGAAGCTCGAATCCCATTCCTGGACTACAAGAACTACACCAACCGCGTTTTCTTCCTGCCCTCCAAAGATGGAGCCAACGATGTCATGATCACTGGCAAGCTGGATATCCCAGAATCCCGCAGACCCATTGTAGACCAGGCTCTCAACCAGTTCTCCAATCTCCTGAACAGCAAAACCTTCCTAATCAACGTGAGACCTCAACTTCATTTCCAGACTACACCCTGATGACATATTGAAATGTGTTTTCTGCTCTGCTGACATGTCTGTGTGCTCCTGGATTCGATGTATTAGCTGACTTGTGTACTGTATCTGTGTGCTGTAGTTCATTCGTACCCTGGAGGGCCGGCAGGAGTTCAATGCCAGGAATAAGGTTTACTTTGCCTCCCTGTTGACGGTGGCGCTGCATGGCAAGCTGGAGTACTACACGGATATCATGAGAACCCTCTTGCTGGAGCTCATGGAGGAATACGTCCACAGCAAGAACCCCAAACTCATGCTCCGCAGGTCAGACTCAGAACCAACCTCAAATCATATTCATGTGTCCATAATTATCACTTTAAATATTGTTGTGCTGTCTTTCTGCAATTAATTGAACTCAGTGATGAATGACTTTAGACTAGTATATCATAGACTTGGCCCTTTTAATTTGTACGAGTAAACAATCTTAGTAGGGAGTCCCTGATTCAATTTGATTCCAATTCACAAGCTCGTCCGTCATTCAGTTTGATTCCTATTTGATTCAATTTGATTCAGATTTATTTAGGTATACATCAGTTCTGTTGTTCATTTTTCATATATATTCTTCCATATAATACAGGGCAGCGTTTTACACTGGCAGCGTGTCTTTTTGAACCATTCATTAAATGAAACGGGTCATTTGTTTGTGAATCGTTCTACACTGGTATTTTTTTTTTGTTTTTTTTTTGTGTACACTGAAAAGCGACACTTAGAAATGTACGTTCTTGGGATTTTTAACCATCAATATCAGGATTGTTCAAATGAAGATCATAATTTATCCGAATGCAAGATAACAAAGCTTTTTTTTTTCCCCCGAAATTGACTGTACTGGCATGATATCGTCGGTCTGTGTTTCCTGTTTAGATCTGAGACCGTTGTGGAGAGGATGTTGTGTAACTGGATGTCCATATGTCTGTACCAGTTCCTGAAGGTAAACAATTTTGCTACAAATAGAAATCGCAGCAATTGTTTTGTGATTATGGAGGCTGACTAATGTGTTCTTGCAGGACTCAGCCGGTGAGCCACTCTATAAGCTCTTTAAGGCCATTAAACACCAGGTGGAAAAAGGTCCAGTTGATGCCAAGATGAAGAAAGCAAAATACACTCTAAACGACACAGGACTTCTGGGGGATGATGTGGAGTACAGTATTTTGGTGAGTACTTGTAGTATTTTCTCATTTCCAGTAGGACAGTGTAATTTCTGATGATGGAATTACCTGGAAAACATATTTTAGCAACCACTCTTGTTTCTGAAGTGTGTGGCATGCCTGTTTACTCCTAATATGTCTACAAAGGTGGTTTCTTAGCAGAAACGGTCAGTAAGGGACCCGTTTAATGGAAAGCTTGTTAATACAGAATCAGTCTCAGGAAAGCGGAGACCATGTTAGTGTGTCCATCATTGTTCTCCTAACACCATTTCATTGGCCAGCAGTGATTGTGTAATCTCATTCTCGACCGTAAAACTGCTCCTCTGGGACTGAACAGCCATTATCCGCTGGAGGAAACGGTTATTGGGCGATATTGGAAAACAAACAAAAACGATACTTATTTTGTTAGCGGATTACAACCAAGATTTTAGCCCAAGTAATTGACTAGTGATTTTATCTGTTTGTGTATATGATGACCTTTGTACACTTGATGGTACCAGTATACTGAAGCCTATTTGAACTTTTTAGACCCTGCAGGTACTGGTTCACGGTGAGGGTCCCGACGTGACCCCTGTCAAAGTCCTGAACTGTGACAGCATCTCCCAGGTGAAGGAGAAAATCATCGAGCAGGTGTACAGGAATCTGCCCTACTCCCAGAGACCCACGGTGGACAGCGTCGCACTCGGTTAGACCTCGCATACATTTGAATTTCATTACTACCCAGCACTTATGATTCATTACAGCAGGGACATTTCCAAAACCTCGAAACTTTATGAAAGTAACACGCATAAATAGCTCTCTTTATTAACAACGTGCTGCATTTAAAGGAATTGGAGGAAGACACGCTTAATCCCGGCTCTGAACAGGTAGCGGTTTGATAAATGGTGGGATTTTGTGCATGTCGGTCTGCACTCCTGCAGTTCTTAATGAGTTGTTCTTCCAAATGTGCTGAATTGTTAAAGCCGATGTCTCGCATCATCCATCAGACAGACAAATCTGGTTAAAAAGAAGTAGTGTGGGAAAAACCAGCTCAAGTTGTCAAGTGTAATTCGTGCCAAGTTTGTTGTTTTTTTCCCCCCATCATACCGTGTTGTAAGACGTTACTTCCTCTTCTTGCCACAGAGTGGCGCCCTGGCTCTACAGGGCAGATCCTGTCTGATCTGGACTTGACATCACAGAAAGAGGGAAAGTGGAAACGAATCAACACACTGGCCCATTACAATGTGAGTGTTTGCATAAGTGCTTTGTCAGAAACTGAAAAATTATGGCTCTCTTATGTTTCTCGCTGATTAATGTTGTCTTGAAGAGCACGCCACTGTGCTATAATTGTCAGTCTATTAAAATGATTTGATTTGTGATTAACTCTTTTTTTTTGGTAGTTATTTATTTTATTACAGGCCTTATATTTAATTGTTTTATTTTGTATTGTATAGTGATATTCTGTATTATTTAACATCATACAATACCACTATATATTTACAATACTATTATAAAATATTGTATTTTATTATACAAATATTTTATTATTTTCCACATATAAATATTCATAGTAATTATTATTATATTATTACTATTTAAAAAAAAAAAAAAAGAAGTTCTCTCTGCTTGCCAATCTTTATGTCTTATTTATTAAAAGGTAAAACAATTAACTACATTTTTAATTAATGAGATGTAAAAAGAAGTTAATTTTGAAAATATGCTTCCAATTGTATTTCTTGTTAATTAAAACTACTGTATATTGTATCCTGTGTGTGTGTTTGTGTTAGGTGAGGGATTGTGCCACCCTTGTCTTGTCTAGAGTTCTGCACACCCAGCAGTCTTTCGACCAGAATCAAGACAACCACGAAGAAAGTTAGTGACTTTGAAGTGTATTAAAGTCTTTAACTTCTACCAATTGTGTTGTAATGACACCAGTGCATTGCTTCTTATTGATCCCCTTAATAGTCTAAAACATATTGACAGTCCTTATTGATGGAGAAAGACTGAATGAATGAAATCTGCTGGTGCACTAAATGAACAGTAAAGTAGAACTGAATCCAAGCTAATGGAGCGAATAAGTGTTTAAAATAACTGTTCTCCACACAGGAAGAGCAATCAGTCCTTCAATTGCTCTTGTTTTATGTTGAACAGGAAATGCTTTGCTGGAGGACGATAAGGTATTTCACCTGGTGAGACCAGCGGATGAGCTTGACGAAGTGAAATCAAAGAGAGGGAGTATGAAAGACAAGGCCACGACGAAAGCCATCACTGAGATTTACCTGACCAGACTGCTCTCAATGAAGGTGGATTAGACTGAATATTTGCTTGTACATTTGAACATTTCATTCACATTTAGACTTGAATTTAATTGGAAACGACTGAGGTGAGTTGGCAAGCAATGTGCTGTGTTTTTGTTACAGGGCACACTGCAGCAGTTTGTGGATGATTTCTTCCGCAGTGTGTTGTGTCCCGGGACAGTGGTTCCACCTGCGGTCAAGTATTTCTTTGACTTCTTGGATGAACAAGCTCTAAAACATGACAACGTTGATGAGGAGACCATCCACATTTGGAAGACCAACAGGTATGAAACACTGTTAACACTAAAACACTTACTTTCTTCAGGAGTTTCAGTGAGACCTTTTTTCAAAATGTAGGCCCTATGTATTTTTAAATAATTCATGGTAAATTAACATATTATTATTTTATGTTAAACATTGTATTTAAAATATATATGTTTTAGTATATAGTATAAAAAATGTATTTTATAATCACAAATGTAAATTCCCTGCATTATATTATATAACATTATATTATGCTATGTTATATATTTAAATGTATTATTTTTATATAATAACAATCGATTGTCAATTCATTGAACATTATGCTGGCTGTGAGGTCTTGCGATTTAAAAAATAAATTTCACATTTAATTAAAAGTGCTCTGCCGAACATTTGGGATAAATTACAGTACGTTTCCATTTGTAGCTTGACACTTGTTCACATACAACTAACCACGAAATTTCAGTTCTTACAAGAACAAACACTCTTAAGAGATTTGAAAACTCTGGAGGGAAATGATCCAAACCCTTTTTAACTTGGCAGATTAAATTATCTGGGCTTTGTTAAGCCTTGATAAAAGAATTCACAGTGTGTCTTGTTGGATGAGCAGAGAGATTGACAGGTTAGGTCTGCATCAGTGTCCCCAAAGTACTTTTTTTTTTTTCTGTTGCTCCCCCTTTCTCATCCACTGCAGCTCATTAAATTAGCTTTCTCATTATTATTTTGCAGAAGAACAGTGACTGCTGGGTAAGTCACGAACAAGGTTTTGATTTATTTTCAAGGGTTTGTTCAAGTCAAGGCCAACGTGACCCTGGTATTGACTCAGTATGGATTGCCCAGTTCCTCTGGGACGCTGTTATAATAAAATCTCATTCCAAAAACTCTGAGATACAGTAACTTTTTTTCTAACAAATGATGGTCTTTAATTAAATGAGGAGGTGCTGATACAGGCACTAGTTCAAGGGATTAAAAACAGCTCTGGAGGAATGAAGATAAAGCTATTACAATTCTTTAAACAAAAAAACAATGCCTTAGATCAAATAAAATGGCATTTCTATTCAGTAGAGGGTTTGTTGTGGTTGTCTTCATTAAGCTAGATTGATTGGTACTCCGAGCTTAATTTGACAGGTAGACTTTAGATGAAAACCTTGGTATGTCTATCAAGGTTTTTTTAGTTTTACTGGCAAATCTGGGTACTTTTTTATACTAATATTTTACCATAATTGTGCCATAAGTTTCAAAAACAATGTACTTATATATATATATTGTACTTACATGTGTATATATATATATATATATATATATATATATTGTCCTTGCAAGTAATTTAATAAGAATTTATGTTCAAAGAAATTGATGTATCGGCTGTGTGTGTGTATTTCTGCAGTTTGCCTCTACGGTTCTGGGTGAACATTTTGAAAAACCCTCACTTCATGTTTGACGTTCATGTGACAGAAGTGGTAGACGCTTCTCTGTCTGTCATCGCCCAGACCTTTATGGATGCCTGCACCAAGACTGAACACAAACTTACCCGGGTGAGCAGCAATGTTTGAAGATGTACTTTATCAATCCTATAATGTCGTCTTGGCTTTTTGTCTCATGTTCCGTTTCTTGATCTCTCTTGCACAGGAGTCCCCCAGCAACAAACTACTTTATGCAAAGGAAATCTCCACTTATAAGAAGATGGTTGATGAGTAAGTTTATATTCTGTTTGAAAGTTTGTTCTTATTTAATCACAGAAACGTAACCATGTTCTCTTTGCGCTTCAGTTATTACAAAGGCGTCCGGCAGATGGTTCCAGTCAGTGACCAAGACATGAACACGCACCTTGCGGAGATTTCACGTGTACGTTTATTTAACTCTTTTTTTTTATTGTCTATTGTTTTTTTTTTATTATTGTTTTTTTGTATTATTATTTTTTGTCATTTTTATTAATTTAATTTCTATTGGATTTTGTTATATTCTGTAATTTTATTATTTTTATTATTTTCTGCTTTCATTTTTATTATATGTAATTGTATTTTATCCATTTTATATTTAATTGAATTTTGTTTTTTCTTTCATTATTTTATATTTGTATTTATATATTTGTTTTGTCTTTATTTATATATATATATATATATATATATATATATATATATCCCATTCATTTTTTTTATTTCAAATTTTTTTCATTAATTTATTTAATTTAATTTAATGTATTTATTTTGTGTAATTTTATATTTAATTTTAAAATAACAGATTTGACTCTTTATCCTTCTCCAGTCTCACACAGATAAGTTAAACACCCAGGTTGCATTGCACCAACTTTACCAGTATGCCAGCAAGTACTATGACGGGGTAGGTGTTATTACACATCAGAGTATGTGAGTGAGGCGACGGTCATACTCTGCTACACATATTTCTTGCTTGAGATCAATGATTAAAACCACACAAATATCTGATTCTTTCTCGCCATGCCTTCCGTAGATTATCTCGTCGCTGGAGGAGGACCCTGCCGCCCAGAGCAAACAGCTGACCCTCAGACTGCAGCAGATCGCCGCTGCGTTGGAGAATAAAGTGACCGACCTTTAGTGTCAGGAGCCCAGACTTGCGATAGGAGACGGAAGTGCCACTAAATCCAAGACGCAGCTCAATTTAATGGGCTCAAATATAAGAACATCCCTTCTGGAGGACTCTGGTTGATGGGAGCCTCTGCTCCGGCGAGTGAAAGATAAAGTGAGGTGGAACACAGACTATTTGCGGACCCTTCCTTTCCTCAAGGCTTTCAGCTTTGCTCTTGATTCAGCGTGACGAATATAAACTCTGAGCTGAGGGGAACGTCAACTCACTATGGTACTTCTCAGATCAGCACCTGCACAATGAAAGTCCAGCATTTTTTTTTTTTTTTTTTTTTTGTTCTTCTATGCCAATAATCAGATGTTCGGTATAATCTTCCTGTGTAGATGAAATAAAATAGTATTATATGTAAATATATTTTTACACTTAAGGCAGCGAGAGAGAGGCTTTAGACGAAACAAATCGAGGATTGTTTCTGTGGAAGAGCACCATTTGGTTTCCCTGTGTATTTTAAGTGCCACTTTCATTTCTGTGCAGTGATCGTCATATCCTGTGGGTTCTTTGACGCCATTGGCTCACGGTTCTGTTTGTGGTAGCACTATCGATTTGTATTGGTGTCCGTGATGCTGATGTGCTTATTTTGTCCCTCCCAATAACTTTTTATTGTATTTTACTGGTTATTGCGTACAATAATGTCATTGAGTCAATTTCCAATTTAGACAATGTTCAAAAGAACAGGGCCATTTTTGCAGAGCGATTGTCCAAGTCTCAAAAACACAGCAAGCGCATTTGATCCATGACACTCAGAACAAAGGCCAAGGAAGCTTTAATCTACCGTCCCTTTGGTGTCTAATCCAGCAGTTACTTTTTTATGTTTTTTTACCCTCTTTGCTTTTATATATGTGCACTTCGACTTCGGCTTGCCTTATTTTATGACACAATTATGATTTTGTATTTTAAATCAACAATACAAGACCGATTCTATTAAGGAGGTTTACATTGCTGGTTGCCTTTCTTTGAAAGAAGTGCAACACTCGAATAGTAGAGAAATGTCTTTGAATGTGATTACGAAAAAACGTGATTTTTTTTCAGCATTTGTTTGGACCGAGCGACTCGTATGGCAATTAGATCATGATATCATAAAATGAATTGAATTCAGTTTATTGGTACGGTTTTATTTTGGAAAAAACGTTTTCTTTTAAAAAAATGATACATTTTTATTTTATTTGGAGCTTACCAAAGTTTTTTTTTTTTCCGCAGCTGTCCGGAACCATCTAATGCATCTGTTGTTTTATATCTATCAAATTATTTAGTTTAAAGTGTGATTTAATTGATAAAAATTTATATAGTTGATAAAAAATATATAAAATGGTAAAGCAGCTGATGGTAATCTTAATCTGTCATCCGACTGAATTTTTTTTTTTTTTTTTTTTTTGTAATTTGTGAATGGTACGATTTTCCCTGTATATTCTGACTCAATTGTGCCAAGCACTGCACCCTCTTAATGACTAAAGAATAATGTGGACTGTATTGTTTAGTCACAAACTTTACTTGTGGGAGTGACTCATGTTGCCTTTTGGTAGGCGGTGACAGTCACTCTGCAGCCAATCAGAGGCTGGCACTGCCCATTCTGAGCATGATGGACACAACAGGAAATGCCTTTGAACTGTAAATATAGCCAGACTGCCAAGATTTCACATACTTTTCTCCTTTTTCTCGCTCCTCCTGCCAGTTCTCCTGTGTTGTCTAGCTACCGTGTCAATGGCTTACTGTAAAGCTTCTTGTTTGCCTTTCTTTACCAGGTAGTGCCTTACAAATACGAGTAATAATGATCAGTTGTGTGGTGATTGTGTCTGCATTAAAAATTGCAATAGGGACCTTAGTTTTGTTTCTCTGTTTTTGTACAATAACTGTTCACTACCTCTTTAAATGTGCATGTTGGCCTATTAAATTGTGTTATACACTAATATTTTCTAATATATCCCTGGTCTGAAATCTGAACGCACTTGCAAGCATCCCGATGATGATCCTGCAACTTGAAACATCTTGATAGATGGCGTCAGAGATGAGGTAAGAATCAGGCGATAATTTTTCTTCATTTGTTTTAATGATCAGTCAATTTAAACAGTCATTTTATTGTTATGGTTGGTAAAACCCATTAATACTAACTAGTAATGAATAGTCCTTATTAAAGCAGAAGTTTGTTTAGTGGTCCACACACTAATAAATGTTTGCTTTCAAGCAATATAGACAGCTGATGGGTCCTTTAAAACAATCAAGACCAAATTTAGAGGCGTTAAGATCAATGAGTCAAGTCCAATAGTGCATTTTAAATCATCTTCTGTCTAGAGACCGATACTAAAGGGAAAAATAATGTACTGGTAGATCTGATGTATGTAGATTAGAAAGCCATCACATTAAACTTACTGCAGAGTGACTGTAAATGGTTTGTACTGTATTATGTCAAGCCATTACTGTCAGTGTTAATGTGTTGGATGTGCTTTCCAGGAAATTAATGCACCCCAGTCTGAAATAAATTACAGCATGAATTTATTATTTAATTTCACACCGGCGTTGTTTTTGTGAACTGAAATTGGTTAAAATGTTTTTTTTTTCAAATATAGCTGAAATAAAATGAAAAGCTAATAAAAAAAGTTCCCTTGGCAATAAGTATGCATTACAGTTACTGAAATAAAGCTATTTATACACTATTTAGAAATGTTAATATTATGTCAAAAGTGCATAAACTACAAAAAAATTCCAAAAAGAGACTAACATTAAAATCTAATTCAAAATATCAATAGGAACTATAATAATATAGAAATTACACTCAAATAACACTGTTTTGCAAGAACACAAGTGACTGCACTGTTGATATTCACTACAACAGCACTCTTGCTTGCACATTTTTTTTCTTCTGCCAACAAAAATAGGGTTATTTTTTTACTTGTCCTAAAGCCAGGCTGGAAAAGACGTCCGTGGAACGGAAGAGGGAAATGGTTTTAAATGTTTATCTGTGCACTGGATCTACACAGGAAAACAGCAATTATAGTAAAAAAAGATGATGATGAGGTAATACTGCATAACCCTCTCCCTCTTTCTAGCTCCATCCACACTGTTAACTTCATTGGTTTATTTATTTTTAAGTAGACATTAATTGTTGTTTTCTCTGAATGGTCCTGCCCGAAGGCCTAACACGGATCACTTTTGGTCCCAGGCGTGAGTGAAACGTGTCTGTAACTCCCAACATAAAGACGAGGCTGTGACGCCATTTACAGCAGGACAACAAGCTAAAGGACATTGAATTAGATGTGTTGTGTTCTGAAGTTGGTTGTTCTTTTATATCTCTGGCTATTTTCAGACTATTTCCACTTGAACCGTATTTCTTCATTTTGTTGGATTTATTTAGAATTGTGGTGTTCTGTTAGAGGAATAGAGGGCCAATATCACATTTGTTTACTTAAATTAGCTAGAAACACTTAATGTTAATATACTGCCCTCTGCTGCCTAAATGATTCCCTACTACACCCATAGGGAGAGAAAAATCTTAATTATGTTCATGTGATCTCAATGTCCTGTGACGAGAGAGTGCTTTCTGTGGCTAAGAATAATGGTGACTAGTCTATGGTCTAAATGGAGTTGTAAACTGGCCTGAGGACTATAAACCATTAAGCATTCTCAGGAAGTTTTAATCTACATAATTAGAAGGAAGGCACATGGTGAAAGGAAATGTTATGAAAAAGGTTGAGTGTATGACTCATTTCCGGCTGAATACAGAGAGAGAAAATAACTAATGTTATAAGCCAGAATTTATCAGGATGAAGACAACTTGGCAGATCGAATATTTTGCATATTTAATGAATAATTCATGTGCTTCCCAAGTTTAAAAGCTTCCCGTTTCGGCTTTTTAACACTCCGGTGCATTCACCCCCATTGATATGTACCCGCTTTTTCTTGAAGTGGATGGATTGAATCAGTTGTCTGTCCACACTCTCTTCCCAAGTTAGGGAATGGATAATGTGCAGTGCACTGTGATGGAGTCTTTAATCTTTTCTGATGCTCTAGATTGTATCATTGGTCAGAACTTATTACCCGAGGGTCTTGTTTCTTCTCTTTGTTCTGTTGTACGCGACTCGGAGACCCATTTCAACCCAAGGCAGCCGTATAATTAGTCTATGTCCTCACCTGGCTGCTAAAAGGACAGGGAACATGGATACGGAGACATTTATGGTGTGTAGTTGTGGCGTATGCTGCTCCTAATAAGATACATTTCATATGTCATTCTGTCATTTTCTCAGGCAGGATATACTTCTGTAGTGACGTCACCTTTGATTGCTTTTAGTGTATGTGTTTGTTTTAGGGCTGTGAAAAAATTAATCGCGATTAATCGCATCCAAAATAAAAGTTTGTATTTACATAATATATGTGCACTGTGTATAATTATTTTATATATATAAATACATACACATGCTTGTATATATTTAAGAAATATTTTCATGTAGTGTATTTATATTTATGTATAATTTCAATTAAATCGAAATATTTTATATATAAATAATATTTTTTTTCTGAAATATACATGCATGTGTGTGTGTGTGTGTGTGTGTATATATATATATATATATATATATATATATACATATATATATATATATATATATATATATATATTAAAATACACACATGCATGTATATTTAAGAAAAAAATATTATTTATTTATAAATTATTTATATTTATGTATATAATATAAATTATATATAAATCTATATACAGTATATACATGAAAATATTTCTTAATACAAGCATGTGTTTTTATATATATATATATATATATATATATATAATTATACACAGTGCACCCACAAACATTATGTAAACACAAACTTTTATTTTGGATGCGATTAATCGTTTGACAGCCCTAGTTTCGTTGTTATTAGCGTATTCCCCAATTATGTTCATTTGTTGAATCTCAACCTTCACCTCCTTTAATCACTTTTCTGAAGGAGACCGTCTGAGAAAGCCAGGTTGCTGCTGGAAGAGTTAGTGAGGCCAGCAGGGGATGCTCACCCTGTGGTCTGTGTGGGTCCTAATGTCCCAGTATAGTAATGGGGACTATACTGTCAAAGAGCACCGTCCTTCGGATGAGACGTTAAACCGAGGTCCTGACTCTCTGTGGTCATTAAAAATCCCAGGATGTCTTTCGAAAGAGTAGGGGTTTAACCCCGGCATCCTGGCCAAATTTGCCCAGTGGCCTCTATCCATCATGGCCTCCAAATCATCCCCATCTATACCAATTGCATTGGCTTCATCACTGTCTCCTCTCCACCAGTAAGCTGGTGTGTGGTGAGCGTTCTGGCGACTGTTCTAAAGAGAATTTGCACACATCGCATTTTAATTCTTTTAATTAGCTTTGCCTTTCCAACAGTGTTATCAACCCGCTTACCAAACACATGCACACAATCTCTGTTACCTGGGCAACCCTGCCAGGGTGGAGGTATATCTCTCACCACCCTCCTCCCATCTTTTCTCTCTCTCTCCCATTCCCTCTCTTCCCCCTATACAAGCATCCTACCTCTCTCAGTCTCAGAGAGACTCAAGGGAAGTATATCAGCTCAGACACATTCAGACTGCACTTCCCTCATCTTCCCTCTCTCCTTATCCATCCATTCATCCCTCTCCTGTTTAATTCACATAATCGCTTTCTCTTTTCCCTTCTCATTGCCCTCTGGACTGTCAATCTCTTCTCTTTCCATCTCTTAGATTCACTTTGGTCAATTTTAAAGCATGGGCTGTGGGAATTCCACCGCTGGCACTGGCAGCACAGCTGCAGGTAAGTGTGCTGCTTTTCTGACCTTATTTCTGTGTGTGCGAGTGTATACGAGTGTGTGTGTGTTTGTGTGAGAGAGACAGCTCTGTAAACAAACCCATGTCTGCTCATGTGAGTTTAGCCATCTAGTCGTATCTCTCTCTCTCTCTTCACAAACCATTGGCTGCTGGCCACACTGTTGTGAATGGGAGATTTGAGAGTCTGTCAGGACTGAAACATTCATCAACAGTCACTCAACCCAGTCCTTGCGGATTTAAGTAGATCTAATCGTTAAACGACTAAGATATATTAGAAGTAAAGCTTTTCTTGATTGTGGTCGAGACTTTGTGCCTATAGGTCCATTGAGACTAAATGTAATACATGAATGGTGTTTGTTTACACTGCTGGAAAGGGATGTGAACCTGGAGAGGATCTTATGAGACTGACGTATCTCTCTCAGTTGGACGTCAACAAGTGTGTGTGTGTGTGTGTGTCGGTGAACGCTCTGTCCTCCGTCAATTTTCAAAAATCAAGAGAGTTAGACCGCAATCTGAACATGCTTTAGTGTGAGTCATCTCACTTGAGCAAGCACATAAACAGGAGCCTTGGCAGGAATAGGCATGAATCGATTTCGACTGCTCTGTGAGGGTTGTAGTGGAGTAATCAAAAAATGAGTATAATTTTAAGAATTACAGTGGGATGAAAAGGTGTAATTCGCATTAAAAAAATGCATTGCATTGTTAAATCAGATTTGTGTCCGCAGGAATTCGTTGGGATGTAGGTAATTTTAATAGTGTGTAATAATTAAGACTATTATACGTATCTGTGGTGATTCAGATAATATTTTTTCCCCTGCTTACCATTCCGCTATCAATAGGTGCATAACTATGTCAGTTCATTTTAACTAACTAGTAGCTTGATGACTCGTATAGTTTGATTGACCAGTCATTGGACAGAGCTCTCATTAGACCAGCGAACGTAAATCTGCCCAACAACATCTTCCTTGACCTTATATATTTGTGTCATAAATATAAAGAAGGTGTTTCCTGGCAGATTTTCGGAATAATAACTTCATAATAATATGAATTACTTCGGACTTTGCAAATAATGCTCATTTTTAATGTAGCACTTTTCTGGTTTGCACCTGTGGGAATGTGTATTTTATGGCGAATGAAGCGGATTTAAGAGTTAAAATTATTATTAAAATTGTTCAGTGTGTATATAATGATCAAAAGGAACATGTGGCATAATTAATATGTGTGTTTGTTTATTTCCACAGGTCCATCTGAGTCAGCCAAAGATGTGTGAGTATTCCCAGACACACACACAGCAATAATTACATAATTATATATATATATATATATATATATATATATATATATATATTATTTATAAAAAATGATGCGAAACAGCAGAAGAAATAAAAAAAAATGAACAAAACATACCATAATATTATATATATATATATATATATATATATATATATATATAGATATATATGAAGAGTTCAGATGCAAAAGCCTCTAAATGCCATTTGAAATGTTCTTTTTTAATGATGATTTTTGTCAAGCTTGTATATTTAAGTTCAGTGATTTCACTTAAATGGCAATGATAATTACCTATTAATTGCTATTTAAGTGAAATTACTGAACTTAAATATACAAGTTTGACAAAAATCATCATTAAAGAAGAAAATTTCAAATGGCATTTAGAGGCTTTTGCATATATATATATATATGTGTATACATATAATTTCTTCTGCTGTTTCGCATGACTTTTTTTTAAAGACTAACTTGAGAGAGAGTGAATAATATAAACAGGAGGGGAAGTAAGCCTCACAGTGTCCTTCGGTTTCTGGAACTGCTTGTCAATCAATTTCCCTTCAGAGAAAAAATACATAAATGGGGCTTAAACACTGCCTGTCATTTTCCAAACAGTTTCTGGACTTATTATCCCACATGCAAACAGCAAGCACCAGCACCCCGCTGGAGAGAGTCTCACTGCCACACACACCACAATAACACACCAGACCTGAAGAGATCTAATGCATCATACATATTCACAAGCCTCGTGTAAGATTTGCATTACTGTTACGTGTTCAGGGTTTCTAATCAGCTAAAGGATAGTCTCACCAAACTCATAATTTGATGCATGACTCCTCAAGACTTTGATCATCTCTTATTTCTGTTCTGGACCCACAGGCAGCAAGACGATTCGTCTGTCGACGAAGAGAAGAGGATGAACTATGGTGGAGTGTATGTGGGCTTACCTGCAGACCTCAGCAACGTGGCCATCGGCCAGACACCCTCCACACACAAAGGTGAGATAATGACACAGCTTTACATGCACTTACCCTCTGTATTCGCTTATCATTAGTTGTAGGATTAGTGTTAGTAATAGTAGATAAAGTAAACAGTAGATGTAAAAAACAGAGATCAGACAATAAATCAGAGTCATGTTTTTTGATGATCAATGCAATACATACAGTAGAGGCAATGAAGTACATTAACCAATCACAATGCATGTTTTATGATGTCATTGCATGTATAATAAAGTAGTCAGAGCAGTATCAACAAAGAGTATTCACACCTTGAGACAAAGTCTTTTATCAGTTCAGTGTTCATTTGATTCCATCTTAAACAGTGTTTGTAAGTGCATGTGAACTTAGAAAGTGGCATAAGAAAAAACATGTGTACCCTTTTTCTCTTCTTACCTTGTCAATCCACTGAGGTATACATTTAAAAGAGAAGGAAGGACGTGCAAGTGTGAATGCATTGGGAATGAAATTTCATTCTCTGCCTTCTCTTCCAGAAACTCATTACTTACTCTATGGAAACCAATTTCCTCAATTCTCTCTGGTCTCACGTTGAGAATTAATAAAGACGTTGAGAATTCTTAAAAAAAAAGGGTGGGGGGGGGGGGGATTTTTAATTTAAAAAATCTTAAATTAAAGTAATGAATTATATTTAGTTGTGTGTGTGTGTGTGTGTGTGTGTGTGTTCGGGGAGAGTTGTTCTTGAAGGCTGGGATGTGTTAATTGGTGAAACATCTTTCCTCAGGGGAAGCGTAAACTGCTGAGTGCCAAAGAGAGTGTTAGTAAAGCTAAAGAAACATATGCAATGTTTGTGTGTGAGGGGATGCACATCAGTGGTTTTTGAAAAATAAATAAAACTATATAAAATATATATTTTATGTAATTGAAATAAAGTTGGAATAAAATAGAATACAAAAATAAGTTGAAAAACTTAAACGAAAATGTTGTCAACTAACTGAAGTACTAAAAATAATAAATTCTAAAACTGAAATTAATAACAATATAGAAATATGAAAAAATGATTAGAATTACTAAAATTAAAATTAAAAACGAAGATATAAAAGCCAATTCAAAATAATATTAAATATTATATAATAGTATATAAATAATACTAAAATGCATGTGTGAGATTGTGCTTAACTATGTACAGTATATCAACTAATGCATATTTCCATCAACAGAATAATGCTATTGAGAGCTGAACGCACAGAAATAAAGGTAAGCCCATTTTTGCTTTCTTATGCAAACTTTAAATCACGCCAATTCTAATAGCGAAATAGCGAACGACATAAATCGAAACGAGTTTGGAATTGGAACTCAATGAATAACAATCCTCAATTTATTTCAATTTTTTTTTCAATGGAGTTTGATGCTAGTATGTTGCTAAGATACTGAATACTACAACAGCTCAGTTTGAATTATACTGCACTATTTTAACAGTTTTTTTAGTATTGAATGAAATAAGTATTTTTAGACTTTGGCTGCATCCGAAATTTCATACTTTCTTGAGAAGGTACTTATTTTGAATTAGAATACGTTCAGTATTAATGTTTGTTCTATGAATGAAATCTGGGCGTACTACATTCACCATGCTGTCATTATCATGTGACCTATATATATATATAGTGTGAAGTGTGATTATGTCAATAATCAAAAAATAATGTGTTTTTTTTTTTTTTTCCCCACTGGTAAAGCTTTCATAGATGTTAAAAAAAAGTTCTTCATGGAGCCATCAATGCGAATAAATAATCTTTATTTTTAAGAGTGTGCTTTTTATGTTGTCCTCTCACTATAATTTAAAGCAAATGTTTCTTGGAAAGATGAGCTATATATTCGCACGTACATTGACTGCTATTTTTTTTTTTTTTTTAACTCTTAGGGCTGTGTCCGGAGGGATTCTTGGCTGAAAAGTGCTGTGTAATAATCCCAACAGGACGCAATCTTCATCATTGTTGATTGCTTCGTTGGGACACAACAGAATCCCCTGAGGGCCAATCATCTAATTGAACGCTCTGGAAACTGAACTAGAATTAGTTCTGCTGACAAGGTCAGAGGTCAGAGACAAATCAGAGTTTGTTTGCATCACTCAGCAAATTTAAGGGCAACTTCTTGTTTCTCAGGACAACGACACACAAATGACAATCACAAAGCAATGGAGATTCTGTAAATGTGTCTTTGAGCTTAAACCTTTTCCCTCACAATGTTGCTCACGTTTACTAAGGGGGTTTCACAAGGGTCAAGGGGTTTCCAAGTGGGAATTGAGGCACTTTTTATGCCCTTTCAACAAGATCCACATCCTCTCAGACACGCATCTCAAGTCATAACAGCAAATCATGTAGAAGAAAGAACTGATTTAGTGAGTGTCATGTTTGCAAAATGAGGTACAGTACACGAAGTGCCTTTTGAAGGAGCTTGTTTCTGTGTTAATGGTCTGTGAGGTAAAGGCTCTTATTGCTTCTTCAAGCCCTTTACTGTCATCCTGAGGTGAAATCAAGAGTTACGTATTTGTGATTGGTTTTAAGGTCCCTCCATTCAGGTAACCCAATTAGAGTAACCCAGTAAAAGCCTCTGAAGAACAAGTTTATATGTGCTAGCAGCGCCTGACCTGAGAGAACTCTGAGGACCGTGAAAGTAGGCTAGCGATCGCACTTAGGTCAGCTGGAACACACACTTCTGTGACATGGGGGAAATGAGTTGAGAGAGTGGAAGAAAGTGAGAGAGCGCGTGAGCCAGACCGTTTGACAGCGGGTTCTGAATGAAAGGCCGGTTCTTGAGTGATGGAGGGATGTCAGACGACACTGTGACGCGGGTTCTAGTTGAACTCTCATTTTCTTTCACCTAACGCCGGGAACTCGCTGCACGAGTCGTTGGATCGCTGTTAATCGCACACTACACGACTGTCTGGGGTACCATTTAGCTGTAAGTGCAATATACTGTCCTTGTCCAGAAAGGAAATAAAGACATCATCAAAGTCGTCCACGTGACACCAGTGGGTTAGTTATCGAAAATACATTTTGGTAAAAAAAAAAAAAAAAAAAAAACTGCGACTTTATTAAGTCTCTTAATTGTAATTTCGACAGTTAATGCTCGAACAGGAAGTTTCTGAATGGTTGGTTAACATTTGATCTATCTTTGTGTACTGGCAGGGTAGAGTAACTTAGTGAGATGTACGAACGCTATGTGCTTACTGATGTATACGTCGTCCTCAGTTTGTAATAACACAATAACCATAGTGCGTTGTTCATTATAGACATGGAATTATTAATTATGTTGAGAACGTCGTATAGAAAACACGCTGTAATGTACCCTGAGTTTAAACCTTAGCCGCATTCAACGTGAAACGTGCAAGCGATTTGCAAAGATTTATATAAAATATACAATTTCAGGGCCTGTTCACATTTCACGTCTTTTGCGTGCTCAAGTTCGTTCTTTCAAATGTACAGTGGGATGTTCATAATGGAAGCGACACGGTCGCGGTGTGACGCGCTCGTTTTTTCCAAGCGCGCATCGAGATAAAAACATCTTAACTTCTGAGAATACGGCAAGCGCACCATAAGCGCACAGTGGGTCACGTGACAAGAACCAACCGGAGCGCCACCGCCCTTAAAAAACGGAGAATGCGGCGCACCCAGCGTTTTCTACGCGTTTTTAGGCGCTACATGTGAATCTGGCCTTACACTCACTTCTTCTGCCCTGAATAGTTGGTACCGATTCTTTTTTTCAGGAGCAGCTTCTTGGCAAAACCAGCTTTATACTGATCCTCGTTCATAAAGCAGTCTGGTGAGAAAAGATTTGCGAATCGCACAAACATGAAAGCATTGACGTTGTTCATTGGGAATATTCCCTTCGAAAACAAAACTCAGCCACTGTGTCGGATTTAGGAGCATCAAGATGACTGTTCGTTATTAAAAACAAGAACAGAACGCCATTCTCCTCCAGCGTATCAATATTGACGGACTATGATGACTATGTGATGACTGTGTTGAAACACTGCTGTCAATCAACAATTGTGGGAGGGGCGTCCGAGGGGCAAACGCCACAATTTGAGGCAGGGGAAAACATATAAGGAGGTTAAAACAAAAACACTGGATAGATTTTTATCATTATATGATGCATCATTCAATACAGTACAGGCACTGCCAACACTCATTTCAGTACAATTAACTTGAACAAGTGCTTGTCGATATCGAAGTATTACTGAAAAGACAATATCAGAGCTGTTTTCTTGGTTGTTTTTGTTGTTTACCATTTACATGCAATTGTTGTATACCATCTTAAAGGGATACTATGCATTTTTTTTTTTAGCTTAACTGCACCGCTTTGGAGTTATTGAAATGGTTATATGACTTCTGTCGGGTTGAATGGTGGCCGTCCCCCACCCCCCTGTTTTTCAGTGTAGAAATTTCAAATGTCATGATTTGCCAATGCAAGAGGGTACCTGCACCTTTTTTCCCCCACTTCAAGCACTGGGCTGTAGGTCGTTGCTGATGTAACTTCCAGTCAAAACACATTTCACACTACATACTAAATATGTTGGCGACTTATTTATATGCGCTTCTCTCGCTTCTTTGATATGATGTACACTACACGGTTGTCACTCACGTGAAGAAGCAATGATTTGCCTCCGATTCTGGAAATTTGCCAGTGACCTTTACAAAACTGGCGGCGAGTGAAAATCAGGGCTAAATATGCTGTGTACCAGGCATTAAAAGGTAGTTCTCCCGAAAAGAAAATGTTTTTGTCATTTTGAAGATTGTTACTCTCCGTCATGTTGTTCCAAACCTGTGTGACTTCTGTGGAATCCAAAAAAAGGAATTTTGGAGAATGTACTGATCATTAAGGCACACTGTACAATGTACATCATTCAAATCATTAAGAATCATAAATATGAGAATATCAGGTATATATGTGGTTTTTTTTTTTTAAGAAGTCACAAATGCTCACCAAGGCTGCATATATTTAATCAAAAATACAGCAAAAACTGTAATATTGTGAAAATGTAAATTTGTTTCTATTTTAAAATGTAATTTATTCCTGTCATGGTAAAGCAGAATTTTCAGCATCATTACTGTCGTCTTCAGTGACACATGATACGTCAGAAATCATCCAAAACAAATAACCTTTATCCTTGCTCGACATTTTTCATGGTTCAAAAGATCAGCATTTATTTAAAATATAAATGTTTTGGTAACATTATGAACATCTTTACTGAGTTTTTGTTACTAATTTTGGTTCATTTAATCAATTCCTTGCTGAATAATTTCTTAAAAAAACAACTCTGACCCCAAACTTACTTTTGAATGACTATACATACAGTATAGAGAATGTATAGAATATATTGTAAATAGAGAATGTATTTGTGTCCTATTTTTAGGGCTTGACAGCATTGTTTTAAAGAAGAAAATCCTGTTTGCACCCTTTCTCTCACACTTCTAAACCGTGTGAAAGCTCTTTCACAGATGCATCATAGATGAGAGATTCTAAAAATGAGTGTTTTTCTCAGGTGCATCTCTCAAGCAGCAGTTTTCTGAAAATCCTGAATAAAATTTACTCTCTGAATCCTTTTTTCTGCTGATTGGTTGCCACCTAGAGTGAACATCCAAAATCAAAATGTCAAGCGTTTACTCCGGTGATCTATTTATTCATTCAGTTATTTCGATTTGAATTGATTTTATTTGAACAGATAGATTTCAGATACTGATGAGGGTAAACCATGATGTTTAAAACTTATTTTGAAGGTAACTGCCTTACAAAATAATACTTTAGGAGATAAGGATGAATGTGAAGAAACGGATTACAAATGTCATTTAAAATCTCAAATCTCAATGAGCTCTCTTTCTCTCTTTTTACATTAGAAAAGGGGTCGTGAACAAGCAGTTTCCGGTGGTGAATTCCATTACTGATGCCAATGTATTTTTGCCCATTTTATATCAGTCCCTTTATGTTGGATTAAAGAGACTTGTTAATAATGCTACTTAGAAAATGTCAATCTACTGTCTGAATACTTAATTCAATGCAAATGGATGGATGGATGGATGGATGGATGGACGGATGGATGGACGGATGGATAGATAGATAGATAGATAGATAGATAGATAGATAGATAGATAGATAGATAGATAGATAGATAGATAGATAGATAGATAAATAAATTCTCTTTGTCATTGTCACTGCATCAGCACAGTTTGATGTGAGACGGGGGGTCTGTGTGTGCTCTGCGGGGTCTCACTGGTGCTCCTGATGATTCACTGAAGCCCAGACCCCAACCAGCCTGACGGGGAATAAACCGCAGCCACCGTAACCTTTCCCCACGGCTGCGTTTGACACTTTAAAGGCAAATTTTCATACATTATCTCTGACATTGATTTTACAGAGTCTCACATCCCTCTAGGTTTAGACAAAGCTCCAACAGTGACTGACAGAAATATAAATATCTCACACAGTCTTACAAGATCAAGGAATTAAATGCATTTTCAGATATAGGCTAAACTTCAGTTATCAAAACGATTCACACCTGGTCACTTTATCCTAAATACATTTGATATTATTGCACCATTCTACCATTAGATGGTGCCATATTGCCATTTAAAATATCACATTTCTCCATTGACCTTGATTAAACATCATGGGCTGCTGTATAGGCATCTGTAAACCTGTCACGAATAATCCTTTAATGATGGACAGTTGCCTTTTAACGTTTAATCAGTTCCTTGGTTTTTGAAGGACATATTGTCGGCTTAAGAATCCAATGAGCCAAGCTAACTGCTTAGTGAGGAAACGGAAACGTGGACTATTACAGTATATGTCAGATTTGGGCAATAATTGGCTATTCTCTGTGTCTTAGGCCCGGAGTGGTAATTCCCCCCCCCCCCTCTAACCCACTTAGAAGTGCACCAGCGGCCCATGGGACGGTGAGAGCAATACAGGCCTCAAAATAGACACAGAGAGTTACATTTGGTTTTCAGGTTATGTTCTCCGTGATTGCTGCAGACATGGATGGAGATGGTTGAGTAGGGCCGTTCTGTTTACCCAGTTAGTGACACCTTGTTTTTCTCATTTAAAGTGCATTATGTTTTGAACATTTAATTTCAATGCACAGACTCAATAATACTAAGTAAATTTGATATGATTATTTGAATTGTTTTGCCATCTTAACTATCCACAATTATATAGCCTGCTGCATTTTATTATTTATTTTTAGCATCATGTTTTCCCCTGCTGACAGCAACCTTGTCAGAACAAACCTGTGACCTATTTTTTGTGTAGTAATTCTCAACCCATCAGTTCAGCACACTATGTCTGTCTGAGAATAAAATGAGCCGCTCAGCATTGTCGGAAACACGGGTTGCCGAGTTCATTTCGCATTATTGCTATTCTCAGGAAACCATTCATTATGGACTATTAAGATGTTCGTAGCTCAAAACGGCCACTCTCACTAAACACACAAACACACACATGTCCCGTTAGCTGCCTATCTTGATTGACTAGCCTCAAACTCTCAAAGTGCACATTTATTTTCGGAAAGCCTTATTTTCTCCTGAGGAAGCAGAGAGTCAAGTTCAAATAGCAGTTCTCAAACAGAATTATTATAGTGTGATCCTTGACCTGCTGAATGGAGAGAGGAAGAAAGGATCCTCTTAAATAAAGTGCAGGGGTTAATGGAGACTGTGTGTGATGGATGCTGTCAAAAGCATGTTTATCATGTTTGAGCAACATCATTCGGGTCTAGGCTGGTTGGCTAGTGTTGGTTTGGTGCTGTTTTTCCATGTTGGACCATCCTCTGTTGTTTTTAAAATCCTTAAAGTCAGAGGGAAATGATAGGTGAATAACACTGAACATGTAAGAATCACGTAAGCCAAACTGTAAACTTGTCCCTCAAAACACAGGCTATATGTATCCATAGCTAAACATAGACAGACAGGGAGCAGGCTGTGGAAAATAAGAGCAGGTCAGATCTATCTGATTCTGTGCTGTTGTGTTGTCTCGGTCTCCACAAACTCATAACTCTGGAATCTGGTCTGTTTCCTGTGCCTAATGAGGCCGCTGTAAATCTCCCATGGGCCTCTATGATTGTGTACACAATGAGGATCGGGCAGAAGATATAAACCGAATGTAGAATTAATGGGATCAGGTGCTATAAATACAAACCCGATTCCAAAAAAGTTGGGACACTGTACAAATTGTGAGTAAAAAAAGAATGGAATAATTTAGAAATCTCATAAACTTATATTTTATTCACAATAGAATATAAATGACATATCAAATGTTGAAAGTGAGACATTTTGAATTGCCATGCCAAATATTGGCTCCTTTTGGATTTCATGAGAGCTACAAATTCCAAAAAAGTTGGGACAGGTAGCAATAAGAGGCCAGAAAAGTTAAATGTACATATAAGGAACAGCTGGAGGACCAATTTGCAACTTATTAGGTCAATTGGCAACATGATTGGGTATAAAAAAGAGCCTCTCAGAGTGGCAGTGTCTCAGAAGTCAAGATGGGCAGAGGATCACCAATTCCCCCAATGCTGAGGCAAAAAATAGTGGAGCAATATCAGAAAGGAGTTTCTCAGAGAAAAATTGCAAAGAGTTTGAAGTTATCATCATCTACAGTGCATAATATCATCCAAAGATTCAGAGAATCTGGAACAATCTCTGTGCGTAAGGGTCAAGGCCGGAAAACCATACTGAATGCCCGTGATCTTCGGGCCCTTAGACGGCACTGCATCACACACAGGAATGCTACTGTAATGGAAATCACAACATGGGCTCAAGAATACTTCCAGAAAACATT